TTACGATCAAAGAAAATTAGACTTCTTTCTATTAACGTTTTCACATTACAAAACCCAAACCAAAAACAAAAAGAAAGAATTATTTTCTTTTTTTTTTTCCTTCATTTTTCGATCTGAAAAGTGAAAGCTCCCCAAAAATCACAAAAACATAATCTTTGTAATCTCTTTTCACTTGTTTCGTGATTCTTCTTCATATGGATAGACATCAACACCACCTTCACCAGCTTCAATACCTCAACAAGCATCAACAACATCATCCTCAATCGCAAACGCTAGAAATAGCGTCTCCAGCGGCGGCGGGTGCGGGGGATAGGTTTCCACAGTGGAGCATAGAAGAGACGAAGGAGTTGATAAGGATAAGAGGAGAGCTTGATCAGACTTTCATGGAGACAAAACGGAACAAGCTTCTTTGGGAAGTTATCTCTAACAAGATGAGAGACAAAAGCTTTCCTCGTAGCCCTGAACAGTGCAAGTGCAAGTGGAAGAACCTCGTCACTCGTTTTAAGGTTCCAATTTTTATCCCCTCTCGCTCTCTCTATTCTTTGATTTGGTAGGGTGTTATTATTATGTTTAATTGTCTAGTTTGTTATACTTGGAGTCTCGTGCATGGACCAACGCGAAATAAATATATATTGTAACCAAGAAATTCGAATCTTATATATATATAGTTCCTAATCTTTTCGGACCAGAGAACAAAGTTACAAAGCATTGGAAATTAGTATCATCCCTAGTTATAAAGCTAGAGATATTTCAAGTCTATAGTTTAGTTGTATATATGCATGTTATCTCATTGGTTATGTGTTGCTTTGTTGTTTCTAGGGATGTGAGACAATGGAGGCAGATATAGCCAGGCAACAATTCCCGTTCTATGATGATATGCAAATTATATTTAGCGGTAGGATGCAAAGAATGCTATGGGGAGAATCCGAGGGAGGAGGAGGGCCAGGGACGAGCGGCGTAGCCAATAAGAGAGGTAACTCGGAGCAATTTTCTTCAGATGAGGAAGAAGAAAATGTGAATGACGAGCTAGTAGATATCAGCATTAATGACCCGAAAATCCTAAACCCGAAAAAGAACATTGCAAAGAAGCGAAAAGGCGGTAGAAATAGTAGTGTAAGAGAGGTATTAGATGAGTTTATGAGACATCAAATGAGAACGGAGAGCGAGTGGAGAGAGAGATGGGAGGCGAGGGAGAAGGAGAGAGCAGAGAAAGAAGAAGAGTGGAGAAGGAAGATGGAAGAGCTTGAGAAGGAGAGAGTGGCAATGGAGGGGATGTGGCGAGATAGAGAGGAGCAACGGCGGTCGAGGGAAGAGATGAGGGCAGAGAAGAGGGATTCACTTATCAATGCATTGCTTGCTAAGCTTACTAGAGATGGTTCTCTCTAATGTTTATTGTTAGCTTAACTTCACATGTTCTTTTTATGATATGTTTTTAATGTGTAGGTTAAACTATTTTTGGGGAATAGTTAGAATAACCATGGTAGAAACTTAATTAACACTAATGTATTGATTGATATCAGGGCACAATTCAGTTTTAGTGAGACTTTAGTAATATATTAACCCCACATGATTTCTTTCTGGTTTTTGATATTGGATTATTAGTTAAACTAGGCGAACTTCTTCGCATACCATTTAATTCTCTAATGTTATGATAGTTTTGATTAGTAATTCTAAAACTTTAGTATAACGTAGAGTATTGGTAAGATGAGCCACATTGCATCAACATATTGAATGGTGATATTAAAAACGAGATTTGGAGGAAATGGTAACAAACAATAAAGGAAAGTGTGGTTAATTCGGAATGTGTAAAAATAGATCCATCGGATCAAAAGTTGTACGATTACTATAATAAATGCGGTGCGGGTGTAATAAATGTCGAATTTTGACAATCTTGTTAACTATTTCTAGTGGTCAAACATTATCTTTCGAATTATATAATGTTTTGGCCAATAAAATCAATTCATACTGTTTATATAAATTTATCGTAAAAATATTCCCATGCTAAAAATACTCTCTTCAGTTTGATAGCAGCTCGTCTATATCTAAACCACATCTCTCAATTTGAAAGAGTATTTATCATACATATTATGTCAAACCAAATTTAAGGGTTTGTATATTCTCTCACGTCTAGATAAAAAAATTTGAAATATTGTTATTTTCCTTTTTCTATTTAAATATCAACAAGGTAACTTGATAGACGCATTATATCATCATGGCCCATAATCAAGGGGTTTAAATAAAAGATTCACGCGCTTAGCTTGGTAAAACGAATCAACGAATCATGTATCGTCTCGTTGAAAGGAACACAATAAGACATATTGTCACCGACATTGACCTTTTTGGGCAAAGCAAATACCACAAGTTGTCTCCTTGAGACCTTTTTGGGCAAAAGCAAATACCACTACTTTTAACTCCAATTCCGACTGTGATTGCGTTTCGTCTCTCTAGTCAAGGAGATTAATTTTGAAGTTTCTATAAAGAATTTGCATACAAAAATGTAATCGATACTTTGTTGTGTCATTGATTGGTAATTTTATACCACTCTAGTACTAATATACTGCTTTTATATCAATCACAAAACCGATATTAAAAATGTTACTAAAAGAGTTTTGTACTATTTTTCTTACCGTTGCTTTTTTTTTTTGGGTCAAAATCTTACCGTTGCTTCTAATATCAGTATATTATTCTGTAACCGTTTAGATCACAAATCGGACAAAAGAAAACACAATTATTAACCTACATTTTTTGTGATTAGTACATCATTTTGTTGTTGGTTTGTAATCGAATCGCTTTAAATTTAGTTGGGCCTGAAAGTTTCTGTTTCAAGTTAACGACAAACTCTTTTGACGTAACACATGTTAAATGTATAGAAGGATCTAGAAGATCCATATGATCAAAGAAGATATTGTGAATATATTTCTAATAATTATATCATTTATGTATTTGTGTAAATTAG